TTTGAGAATGTGTTAGAATCACTGTTCAGATAAGTCACACATCGAACTCTGAGAAATCTCTCCAAGTAGATCAGAGAGTCCGTACAAATGAAGTTATTGTATATTTAAGAAATCCGGTGTCATTTTTTTCCCTTGGTTTAAATAGCATTGCATTGTTACTAAGGAGATACAGCTGATCAGGAAGTTAACTTTAGATTAGAAGACATGTGTAATATTGACTGAGTCACAGTTTGTTGAGTACCAATTTGGAAGCAACCTTACTAGATTCAGCCAAAAGTCCCTTTTCATCCTTTAAGGTCCTGTCAAACAACAGTAATTCTATTCCTTTGTCATAAAAAATGATAGCGAATATTAGTAACTGTGACATCATTGAAACCAAACTATTACGCAGTTCTGTAGAAGTGTTTGTTCCTTTTGAAAAAAATATGTGAAGATGAAACGTGTGACATGACAAAGATGCCTATTTTATTCTCTCTCTCTCTCTCTCTCTCTCTCTCTCTCTCTCTCTCTCTCTATATATATATATATATATATATATATATATATATATATATATAAAGTACTGTACTGTTTACCTACCTTCAACAATGAGGAAAGCCAAGACTGTGCGGGCTTGGAGGTATCTTTGTGGAACAGACTCTGCCGACAGAAATGCCAAGATAAGTTCTGACCACTAACTTCAAAGGGTACATGTCAACCACCATACTCTTACCTGTTCCTCCAGTTTTCCAGAAAACTAGCCAAGAACAATAAGTATAAGTGCATTGCAAACCACAGTGGTTTGCTTCCCCATCCCTCATGATAAATGAGTAACATTCAGACCTCTTTGGAGACAGTTAAATTATGACAAAAATGTTGGGACTCAGGCAATACTTAAGTAAGCTTCGTGTTCTTTAAACTGACCTACAGTTCACAACCTTTGGATCTCTCTCCATTCTCTTCTCATCTCCAGAACTGGTGATCTGCCAGCAAAGTCTTTCAGCACAAGTAAACAAAAGTTCTGATTGCAATTCTGAAGAAAAGAAAAAGCAGGAAATGCATAGATGAAAAAATAAAGGTCTCTTGTTTTCTTCTTCTGTTCTGACTTCACTGAAGTTTACCTGGTTTCCCAGGTTCCTTTGTCAGAAGACAAGGAACTAAAGAGAAATGCGGAGGATTTTTAACCCTCATCCATGAGAATACAGCTTACACTTTAGCTATGGCTGAATTAGGACTTTATCTACAAAAGGCAAAGTTTAGTGCTCTGATCACTTATATCATTATGATGCTTTTACCTAGGCAATCCTTCAAAGTTCACAGATGATTGTCTTCCAGATGTGGTGTGTTGGCGGTTGGTCCATATGTGGCTGTGGAGTCCTATTCTTGATCTGCATCTTCTCCCGCAGTGAGGACATGGGTTTCCAGATGGAAGGCGATCCAGGTCAGGGTTGGCTTGACATGCCTTCCTCTTGGCACGTTTCTCCCTTTCACCCTCCATTTGTGCTTCTTCAAATTCTGCAGCACTTCTGGCCACAGCTGACCTCCAGTTAGTGCTCTGGGGCCAAGACTTCCCAGTTCTTAGTGTCTATGCCAAGGGTCCTCAAACTAAGGCCCAGGGGCCAGATACGGCCCTCCAAGGTCATTTACCCAGCCCTTGCTCAGGGTCATCCTAAGTCTGAAATGACTTGAAAGCCCCCTGCTGCTATTATTATTATTATTATTATTATTATTATTATTATTAAGACTGGATGGCCATCTGTTGGGGGTGCTTTGATTGTGCTTTTCCTGCATGGCAGAAGGGCATTTTGCTGGATGGCCCCTGGGCTCTTCCACTGAAATACTGTTAACATATTGCATTGTTCTCCCCCCCCCCCTTTTTTTGGCACTACAAACGAGATATGTTCAATGTGCATAGGAATTTGTTCATGTTTTTTTCCAATTAGTTTTCAAACTCCATCCATCTGCCACTGGCGTGGCCCATCTGTCAAATTTGAAAATGCAGTGCACCAAAAAGTTTGCCCATACCTTATATCTATATACATACATACATACATACATACATATGTATGTATATACATTATACCTAATATAATATATAATGTATAATATATAAACATTTCTTGAGGCTCCATGAGAAACTTTTGCTTCAAAAAGGTCTCCACGGCTGAAAAAGTTTGAGAACCCCGGCCTAGAATGCCAAAGGAGATTGTTCAGACTTTGTTATCTCTTCTCCATAACATGCTAAATTTCCACAATGGAGGTTTTTGTTTGTTGTCTAAAGAGAAGAATGTCAAGTGAACCCTTGCCCATAGTCTGAAACAGTGCAGTCCAAAGAGAGCTCAGCCACCTCAGTGAAATCTAGACCTCGGTTCAACCAGGGTGACTGTGAGGCCAACCCAGCAGGCCTGCTCAGCCTATTGGCATACCACAAGTGAACTCCGAAAAACAAGCCTAGAATATGTGCCAGAATATTTGGGCAGTTCAAGAAGCTGTACTTTGCATTTTGGCATCAGGAAATGAAACAAACACACACAAATCCCTGGGTTAGGCCAAGAAACAGCTCTTTGATGTCACAGGCTCTTCTAATGGGTTTAAAATCTTAAGCAAAAATAAGTTGCAAAAGAAATGTGAGGCCCAGAAGGAGTATTAAAAATGTTGGTTTGCATGAAATGTGTTTATTTTATGTCTGGATGCAAATGAGAACAATCATATTTTAAATACAAATGCAAAATTGTGCCCATGCAATCTGAATGCCTTTCCAGTTGTAAAAGTGTTTATGAGTTGCTTCCATAACACTGTTCTTATTTATTTATTTATTTATTTATTTATTTATTTATTTATTTTTGGTTGCTTCTACCCCGCCCTTCTCACCCCAGAGGGGGACTCAGGGCGGTTTACAATCGCGAGGCACAATTCGATGCCCGAATCACATAACAGCAATAGGACACTAACATCGGTTAACAGAACCAGCAAATTCTAGCAGTAACATCCATTAACAAAACAACAATTATTATAGGCAAAACAACCATAAAACCAATAAAAGCAATAAAACTAATACAAACCATTTCTCCTCGTTGACGGTCAGTGTTTCACAATCTCATAGTTCACATTCCAATGCCACAATTGTCAGTCCTTTCAGTCCTATCCATCTGGTTGTCCATATCTAATAGTCAGATTGCCCAAAGGCCTGGTCCCATAGCCACGTCTTTACCTTTCTCCTGAAGGTAAGGAGGGATGTTGAAGCCCTAATTTCCCCCGGAAGTGAGTTCCACAGGTGAGGGGCCACCACTGAGAAGGCCCTGCTCCTTGTCCCCACCAGCCTCACTTGTGATAGTGGTGGGGTCGAGAGCAGGGTCTCCCCAGATGATCTCAGATTCCGAGGTGGGACGTAGAGGGATATACTGGACCAGAACCGTAAAGGGTTTTGTAGGTCAAAACCAGCACCTTGAATTTTGCTCGGAACTGAATCGGCAGCCAGTGGAGCTGACACAGCAGGGGGGTGGTGTGTTCCCTATATGTTGCTCCGGTGAACAATCTGGCTGCCGCTCGCTGTACCAGATAAAGTTTCCGAACAGTCTTCAAGGGCAACCCCACGTAGAGTGCGTTGCAGTAGTCTATTCGGGATGTAACAAGAGCGTGGACCACTGTGGCCAGATCAGACTGTTCTTACTTCTTGGGCTTCTTTAACTGGTCAGTCCTTCAGGTAGAGCAGTGGTTCTCAACCTTTTTTTGACCAGGGACCACTTGACCAGGGATCTCTTTGACCAGAGACCACTCTCCAACATTAGTACCAAAAGGGTTACGAATCACTTTCTGGTCAACTTTAGATTCAGTTTGGTTATTTGGGATGCTGATTCAGAAAATACTGATCAACCATCGAGATTTGGCAGGGACATCCCAGTCGACCCCATCATCCCATTATTTCAGCTGCGTTTAAAATGTCCTAGTTTCTTTCTTGGCCTCCCATGTTCCCCCTTTGTCCTCATGACTTCAAACTGTAAAGGTAGTTTGCAATCCAAAGTAGGCAAAAGAGAAGAAGAGTAGGATCTGGTTCTTCCTCGTAAGCTCACATGAAAGGAAACTGCTGCAACCTCTCCTAATTTGTGTCTTCTTCCTCATTAATAATGAGTGCATCTTGACCACACTTCATTGTTTGGCAATATGCATCCTGGTTTTCATCTGTGAAATGTTGGAGGTACGCAAGCTATGTTTTCAAAACCCATGCAGGAAAAAGAAAACGTGCTTCTATATGCACTGGGCGGCAAATTAAGAATCCATGCCTTCTTCTTTATGTTGGATAAGATTTTCTGCATAGGGAATTGAACCTACACACCAGCCTGCAGAAGAGTGCTCCTAGAAGATAGGTCCCTCGACAAAATCTAATTTTATTGGATCCCAGATTTCAATACAAACTAATGGTAATGGAAGATGGGAGTTCCAATTCAGCAACATTTGGATTTGTTGTTGGAGGGCCATTTGATGACTACCTCTGATTTAGAAACTGGAACACCATGGAGCGTTTTTATAGTTTTCAAGAGTCTCTCCTGATTTCAAGCTTATATTCTTTACATTGTATTTTCAACCCCTGTATTCATGGATTCAACTATCCAAGGCTTGAAAATATTTTTTAAACAATTCCAAAAAGGAAAGTTTTATTTTGTCATTTTAGATAAAAGATGCCATTTTACTATACCATTATATATATAATGGGACTTGAACATCCATGGGTTTTAGTATCCATGCAGTGTCCTGGAGCCAAACCACAAGCAGATATACTATTTGGTCCTAAAGTCTTACTTACTTACTTTGAATAATATCCAACTACTTTCTGATTAAAACAGGTGTGGGTCGGTACCTAGATGCATATCTAACTGCTAATCTTATATATGCAGGTTTTATGTTTTGCCTAAAACTGGCAAAACCAAGGATGTTCTTTACAATTCATGTGTTTCTTATAGACCAAGATCTTATAACTCCATTTATAAGAGGGAAAATAGGGAAAGGGTAATTTGAATAGGTAATTATTTTCTGAATGAACTTTATTTTTTAATTTATCAAACATGATAATCGTATGCCAAACCAAAACATCTGATATTTCGAAACTGACAAAGTAACTTTTAATCTGTACAGGATGCTATTTTTTACTTTTTTTCCAATTTGTCCTAAAATTTTCATATCCCCACCCCACCTCCAGCCACAAAATCAGAAAATAGTTTTCTTCCATGGTTTCAACATTTTTTAAAAAAATTACATTCTACTTACAAGATTCACAATGGAGAAGGGTCACCATTATTTCTCTGTCACTGCCAGCTGTGCAAAACACTTGCATTCTGGAAATACTGCCAACACTGACACACACATACACATGAGTTATAATTGCCTACACCTCCTCCCTTTCTGTATAACCTTTCTGTTTCTGGGGTTTGTTTATTTGTTTGTTTACAAGTTCACACTTTCATGATCTACTGTCTCCACTGTCTCAGGCTGCAAATGTATACAGTTTGGAACTTCAGCCATGTCTTTCAGTTCCGCTGCTCCGTTCTCTCTTGCTTCTTTCTCTTTGTTTTCACTTGTTTGGTTCCGGTGTTGTTTACGTAAAATAAGGAGTATAAATATACAAGGGATGTATGAGACTCCACGGAGAACTGCTGGAACACCCAGGTAGAGCCATCTGGAATACAATTTAAACTGCATTAATATATTATTACTGTTATTTGGCAGGCAAATACAGACTCCTTTGCACCCATGTTGTTTCTCCGCTATAGTAGCATTTACATTCAGATCTCCACGTTTGCAGGTTTAACTTTAGTGGATTTGATTAATATGGTCGCTATAAGACTCTCTAGGTCCCCCAGTATGACTTTATATTCACGTTGGCCATAAAGTTGCACAGGAGAAAACGTTTTCTATCAGGCAAATAAAATAGTGGAGTTTTAAAATTTATTTATTGCTTTCCCATTTTCACGGAACTCCTGTGCCCCTATTGCAGTGAACATGGAGGGTTGACTGCATATATAGCATGCATATCCACAAAAGGCATTGTTATCTCTATGATGTGCCAGAATATAGCCTTCACCATCCTCGATAGCAGGGAAAATAGATGGTCTGGTCCCTAAATCAGGAAGACAGCCATAAGAATACAGTTGAGATGAGAAAAGTGCATTGTGTTTTGTAACCTCCTTATCTATTTTGTTTAAAGTCTCTCCCCAACTCTACCCTCCTCAAACCTCCCATTTCCTTTATTTTCCTCATTCCCTCAATTTTTCCTACACAGAATGTGGGAGAAAATATTTTGGATTATTTATGGGGGTACATGTGGGGGTCCCTTGGGGGTCTCCAAGATCTCTCAGTGGTATAATGCAACCTCCTGGCTTTCCCACCTTTGATCTATACCCAACTTTTAAAAAATGACAAAGCAGTGATCAAGTGACCATACCTGTATCTGTCAGTATCATACATCCGGCAAGCTCCTTCACCACCACACTTCTTTGTTCCCCATTTCAAACATGCACTGTCAATCATGGCTCCAAAATAAATAGGTGATGGGATTCCAGCTACATGGGATACAGCCAGGAGACATAAAGTTAGTAATCATTACCTCTGAGTGGTTTTTATAACTGACCTATCCATTCAGCCACTGGAGAGGATCAACTCAAAACTTCTAACCCCCTTTTATGAACCCATTATGCTTTTCAGAGGGGGTGGAGGTCTTAAAATATTTTTTGCATGTAGATCTGTATTTTTATACATATTTATCTGAAGTGTGTTAGATTTCGGATTTTTTTGTGTCAGGAGCGACTTGAGAAATGGCAAGTCGCTTCTGGTGTGAAAGAATTGGCCGTCTGCAAGGATGTTGCCCAGGCAGGCCTGTAGCCAGGATTTTGATTTGAAATGGGGGGGGGCTGAGTTTGATTCCGGGGGGGGTGTGTGTGAAAGAGGGTCTACCCTAGCAAACCTTTTGTATCGTTACCCCAATACTCCCATGCATATGGGATATATTGAGCATGGTAATCAGATAATGATATGAATAAACATAACAGTTTAAATAATGTACCAGTAAGGCCTTCTCATGGACCACCATGAGAATTTCGGGGGGGGGGGGCTGAAACCCCTCAAGCCCCCCCCCCCCCCCCCCCCCCCCGGCTACATGCCTGTGTCCAGGGGATGTCTGTCTCGGAATGTCTCTGATTGTCTCTGAATGGGAAGCAAGAGCTGAGACAGGAGCTCACCCCACCCCCTGGATTCGAACTGCCAACCTGTTGGTCGGCAGACCGGCTGACACAAGGGTTTAACCCATTGTGCTACTGGGGTCTCCTTGGATTTTGGATTTTAAATGCATATACAGGCAGTCCCCAAGTTACGAACAAAACAGGTTGTTTGGATTTATTCTTAAGTTGAATTTGTATGATAGCTGGAACAAAAACATGTGGACAATTTCAGATTTTGTAAAGCTTCACATTTTTGAATTCTGGATAAGATACGTGCTTATTTATTTAAAGGTTGCCAGGAATACATAGTCAAAGGACTTCTGACAAATCGTCATGCAGGCTCCAAAAAAGAGAGTCCCTACTTGCCTAGAAAGGAATGCAAGTAAGTTGTCTTACCAAAAGTTCTTTCTGCCATGGAATGGAGGCCTACACCAAATGACTTCTCCTCAGGCTTTAGTGACCTGCACAAAAACAACAGCATTTTACAATAAATCACTAAACAAGACATTATAATGTGTGAAATATTTGCTATGGTAGGTTTATTGTTCTCAAAGTCTCTCCAATTAGGACAATTTATTCTCATGCTCAATTATGTTCCATTATCTTTAACTGGAAGAGATTTCATCAACATCTGTGCATGGGCATGGCTTTACATTGTCTTGAATGATTATAGTTACTTTAACTTACCAGAGTCTTTTGTACACTTTCAGTCAGTTTAAATTATTCTTACTATGCTTGAATAGTTTCCCCATTCAAGAGTTGGTTTAATGGTTTTACTCTAGATGGGATTAACAGTAGGATTCCGGTGAATTTTTGGAGTTGAAAATTGCACTGAAATATTCACAGAAAGTGCGAAATCTCAAGTACTTTTGCGTTCCAATCATATACATTAGTTGGAAAGATGCAATACCTTAATAAGACCATGTAGCCTGGCATAGCTCCAAAGGAATAAATCAAGCAGCAGACCAAAGATAAAATTAAATAGTAGAGCAGCATTGTGCTGCAGTTCTCCCCTCTGTCACATTGGCCTGGCACTGCTGAGCCGCTTCCATACTGAAATCCTGGGGTTGAAATGCAGGAGCAGTTTGTAAGGACCTGTCCATTGGGAAACAGTAAAAGATACAAGGGAAAAATATGATGCCCAAGATCCTACATCATATTTGTGTGGCATAAGTCCACACCTACATAGTTGCACAACACCAAACTTCGACTAGATATTGACTTTATGCAATTGATTGTCTGCCTACCCACTCTCCCATTGTGCCATAGGGAATGCACTGTGTGTTGTATCTCAGGCTAAGATTCACCTTGCTCTCTCTGACAAACCAGCCAAACTTGTGAAGAAAGAAGTTTATTGTGAGGTTTTTCAAACAAATCAGAGTATAAGCAGTAAAAAGTTCAGTAGTACAAGGTAGAAGTCCAATAAATGCCCTTTGAGTCAAAGCAGGAAACTTGAAGCAAGGAAGCAGAACAAAATCCAGGAAATAGCATGAGGTTACATGAAGCAGGCTTTCCCCAAGGCCCAAGCCCCAGAGCCGGAGACAAAGCGAGCCATTTTTGCAACGTTGGAACTGACGCCGAATCAGCTCCCAGGCAGTTTACTTATAGGTAAAACATCAAAACATTGAACATTAAACAGACAGCTAACAAGCAGTTTTCCCACCAACGGATGGGCTCAAGACTTGGCCGCAATTCGTAAACTCCTTCTTAACACCTGCGGAACAGCCTGACCTTCACCAGCTGTCTTATCAGCCACATTCCGTTCCTGTGAGAAAAGTGGTTTCTCTCTAGCTACAGACTGTGACTGAGAAAACTGAGAAAACTGGAATCCCACACCTGCATCTGTATTCCCATTCCCATCATGCTCATCTGCACTCTCAGTCCCATCATGCTGTTGCTGCTGAACCACAACACTGTGGTTGCTCCTGCAATTTCATTGAATGAAGTGATACAGTGAAGGCAGCTATGGGTAGTTACACCTCAGTACACATCATGGTACCACTCCAAGAGAAAGACAAAAGGCATATGAAATAAATAATTGAATTAAATTAATTTCGAAGAATGCACAACTGCCTGACTGGAATCCTCTTAGCTTGTCTCAGATAGAGTGGAACCATTGCATGAATTGCTTGATGTTGCATCAACACGAAACTATATCAGATTGATTCAATGACTCTATGCTAGATCAGGGCTAACAATAGAATTTGAGTGTATCCATATCTGCATCTCTAATGGCTAAACTTGGGAAAATGTGCTTAAGCTACTGAGTATATATATTGCACAATGGTCCAAAATATGTAATAGAATGTAAACATGTGTAAGACACCAACAGAAAGCAGGACTGTTTCAGTAGATTTTTGAAGGATGTATCAATATACATAGATTTCTATATATTTAAAACGTGTTAAAGTATTGCTTAGGAAATGGTAACTCCTGCCCCTTGAATGCACTCACAACAACTCAGAATTCCTCAAACTCTGGCCATATTTACACAGACCAGCTAAAGTGGATTCACCTTTCAGCTTTTGAAGGGAATCCATATGACTGCCGGATTCTCTGCTGAAGTGTGCCATATTCAATCATTAATCCAGGGAGAGGCCCTTCTCTTGCTCCTGCCCTCGTCACACGTGTGACTTGTGGGGACGAGGGAGAGGACCTTCTCTGCGGTGGCCCCTTGGCTCTGGAACTCGCCCCCCAGAGATATTAGGCAAGTCCCCACCCTGACAGTCTTCAGGAAGAGCTTGAAAACTTGGCTGTTCCAGTGTGCCTTCACCGAATGAATGAACAATATTTCCTTGACCTGACCAATTCCTGCAAATGCCCTTGGAAGCACTTTATTTTACAAAGCGCAAAAGCCGGGTTGCAGCTAAACGTCAAAAAAACCAAGATTATGGCAACAAGAATGATTGACAACTGGAAAATAGAGGGTAGAAACCGTGGAGGCCGTGACAGACTTTGTATTTCTAGGTGCAAAGATTACTGCAGATGCAGACTGTAGCCAGGAAATCAGAAGACGCTTACTTCTTGGGAGGAGAGCAATGTCCAGTCTCGATAAAATAGTGAAGAGTAGAGACAGCAGACTGGCAACAAAGATCCGCCTAGTCAAAGCCATGGTATTCCCTGTAGTCACCTACGGATGTGAGAGCTGGACCTTAGGGAAGGCTGAGCGAAGGAAGATCGATGCTTTTGAGCTGTGGGTTGGAGGAAAGTTCTGAGAGTGCCTTGGACTGCGAGAAGATCCAACCAGTCCATCCTCCAGGAAATAAAGCCCGACTGCTCATTGGAGTGAAAGATACTAGAGACAAAGTTGAAGTACTTTGGCCACATCATGAGGAGACAGGAAAGCCTAGAGAAGACAATTATGCTGGGGAAAGTGGAAGGCAAAAGGAAGAGGGGCCGACCAAGGGCAAGATGGATGGATGGCATCCTTGAAGTGACTGGCCTGACCTTGAAGGAGCTGGGGGTGGTAACGGCCGACAGGGAGCTCTGGCGTGGGCTGGTCCATGAGGTCACGAAGAGTCGGAGACGACTGAACGAATGAACAACAACACAATCAAACCCTATTTTACCCTCCGGACCCCATGTCCAGATACATTACGCTGCCGTCTCATCCTTGTTTTTTAGTTTTTTAATCTATTATGCCTTGGACTGCGAGAAGATCCAACCAGTCCATCCTCCAGGAAATAAAGCCCGGCTGCTCACTGGAGGAAGGATACTAGAGACAAAGTTGAAGTACTTTGGCCACATCATGAGGAGACAGGAAAGCCTAGAGAAGACAATCATGCTGGGGAAAGTGGAAGGCAAAAGGAAGAGGGGCCGACCAAGGGCAAGATGGATGGATGGATGGCATCCTTGAAGTGACTGGACTGACCTTGAAGGAGCTGGGGGTGGTGACACCGACAGGGAGCTCTGGCGTGGGCTGGTCCATGAGGTCACGAAGAGTCGGAGACGACTGAACAAATGAACAATCTATTACATTGGCCCTGCCCACAGCGATTGATTTCTGTGTTTTAAACATTGTGATTTTATATTGTTGATGTGTTATTTATAATGGTTTTTGTATTGTATTTTTATTTTCTTACATTTTATTGCTGTATTCTTTTTATACTGATGTATGATTTTGCTGGGCTTGTCCTCATGTAAACCGCTCCAAGTCCCCTTGGGGAGATGGTGGCGGGGTATAAATAAAGATTATTATTATTATTATTATTATTATTATTATTATTATTATTATATAGACTCTTCATCTGTGAGATAAATTTAATCTGCCCAAAAAGTTTGCCGTACCTCATATTTGCCAGTTCCATTTGATACTTTGCATCCAGCAAGACAGGCTGAAACATATGCTATTCCATTCTCTCCACAAACGGGATCCCACTGCTTAGTTGAACAGCCACAGTCTCGGTTACAGTCAGCATATAGATTTGTTTCCCCATATGAGAGTTGATCTATCCTGAAAGATATTCCACAAAATAAAATATAAACATGAAAAAAGAGCAAAGTGCCTTGTTCAAAAATGAGAGTCTAGTTACTACTGTTAGTCTATAGTAGGTGAAAGGTCTTTGCCTGATATTGAAATGTCAGAGAGCAATTCTACGAGGACAGGATAACCTATACTCACCCTGATGTTCTACTATTTCTAGTCAGTATTGTGGGATATCATGGATTAAGCCAGGTTTCCCCCACTTTGGGCAAAGTCAGGGGAAGCTCTGGAGTTGGATGGATTGTGTCCATGTCAATGCTGTCATCACTATCAAACAGCCACACAACTCTATGTGAGCTTCCGGCCATTGTGGGTGCCCTGTTTTCCAACTAGGAAGAAAGAGGGAAAAGCTGACCTAACCTTCTTACTGGTCACATGAGTATCTCTGCTGATATCAGAATGGAGCATCCATGATGGCCAGGAGCTTATGTGTTCTGTATCCTTCTGGGTGACCAAGTGAGGTGATGGTTCACCAGGGCTGATGAGTCCTGTCTGCTTCCCCCCACACCCCATCATGCAAGGGATTATATGTATTTCCTGTTAAGTGGGGGTGCATTAATACTGATGTGCTGAAATATAAGTATCTGCATACATGCACCTTCATTTAAAAAAAATCAACCAAGGAAAGAATCACTACCTGGCAGGAACGATCATCTCTCACTAATTAAAGCCACTCACCACTAATTCCTTTCCACAACTTTACATCAAAGTGATGCCACCTGGAGGGCCTGAGTTTTCTGTAAAACTGTGTGGTAAAAGGCAATTTTTGTACTGGATTAAAGCCCAAACAACTACATTCCAAGCCAAAAGTCAAGAAGGTCACATTTCAGTATGATTTTTTTCCTACAGTGTAAACAAGCTCTTTTCCATCTTTCCACTTGTTTTATATTATTTATGTATGAGTGCAAGTGCACTCATTGCTCTTCAACATGTACACCTATGCCCTCATCAGACAAAGGGAATTTGGCATTCTAGGACACTTTCACCCTGTCTTGTGCTACTCTGCTGCTGAGTATGCATGCCCAGTGTGGAACACATCTCACCACACTAAAACAGTGGATGTGGCTCTTAATGAGACATGCCACATTAACATGGGGTGTCTGCACCCTACACCACTGGAGAAATTACACTGCTTAGCCGGTATTGCACCACCTGACTTCCGCCGGGAAGTAGCAGCCAATAGTGAAAGGACCAAGATAGAGACATCTCCAGCTCATCCCCTGTTTGGGTATCAGCCAGCATGTCAATGACTTAAATCTAGAAGTAGTTTTCTAAGATCTGCAGAGACACTCGCTGGAACACCCCAGCAAGCGAGAGTCCAAAAGTGGCAGGCTCAAACCCAGAACCTCAACCAATGGCTGATACCAAATGAGAGACTCCCCCCTGGGCACACAGAGGTCTGGGCAACTTGGAAGGCTCTGACCAGACTGTGCTCTGGCAGCACGAGATGCAGTGCCAACCTTCAGAAATGGGTCTACAAAGTGGAGTCCACAACATGCGAGTGTGGAGAGGAGCAAACTACTGACCACCTGCTGCAATGCAACCTGAGCCCTGCCACATGCACAATGGAGGACCTTCTTGCAGCAACACCAGAAGCACTCCAAGTGGGCAGATACTGGTCAAAGGACATTTAATCAACTACCAAACTCACAATTTCTGTATTTTGTCTGTTTGGTTGCTTTGTTCTGTTAGAAATGTAATATAATTGACTAGTTGCCCTGACACGACAAATAAATAAATAACCCTGTCTTGGGAATGGAACCCCATGTTGGACATCAGATGATGTTGTGCGACTTCCAATAGAGGACCCACCCACAACTGGGGTAGAAATGTTGTTGAATGCTTCCCCCAGAACATGGGAAGCTTCCTGTGTTGTGCTGACTCCAATGGAGCCACGACAGGGCCTTGCCAGGAGGGCAATGCTTTCCCCATGGGATTTGTCCCACTGTCCTTCTCTTTTCTTGGTGAAGCCAGGTGAAGTGGGACGTTTCGGCTGGCCTTTCTGAAGAAACCCCCAGTAAACTATGCACAAATAGGAATTAAGTTAACTGAATGCAGAAAAGGTAATCAACTGACTCCCTGGAATAAGGGTGAGATGGACACATACCCTTCATAGGAGATTGTTAAACCAGCAACCGAAGCATTTTTGCAGATCAAGAAAAACGTAATGAAGTATAGTAGATACTCTAGCAATGATGTCCAAAAACCAATATGTGCAGCTTTATAAGTATTTATCTTGAATTTCTTCATCATTAGGCCTCCAAAAAAATACCCTGCACATATAATTGGCAAATTATAAACACCTAGAGGGGAAAAAAACAAAAAGAAGAGTACTTTTAACAGCGGTGTGGCTTGCAAAGGCCCTTTACCTACACTGGCATCAAAAACCCATAGGAGAGAACAGAATATGTCAATTTTAGGACAGTATTCTACATCTTGATGGAATGTCCCTGCTATTGATGTAACTGTCTGATGAGATGTTATACTTAAATGTGATCATAGTTGCAGTAAGAAAGATTTTCACACTTTGTTGAGATCAGAACGCATTTGGAGTCCACTATTAGCTACATGTAGTGGTATAGTGGAGTTAAGGACTCTAGGGTTAAAGCAATTGCACTTTCTGATTAGCAGAGGTGATATCTCTTGCCTGTGAAGTTATCTGCAATTTGCTTGGTATCTGTAGGGAGGACGATTTTCCCAGGAAAGATACAGTGTTTTGAGCAATGTTGTAATGTTGTAATGCAAAAGATTATGGAGTGCTTGATCTCAAATGGGCAATTAATTTCACAATTGACCCAGTCCTGGCTAAAGCAAAATTCTGGAACTGGTTTGTGGACATCCATATAATGTGGATCAACAAATCTGCCTGCGTTTTAAATTTGGAATATGTTTAACTAAGACTGCCATACGAATTGTGTACTCTTTATTGTACCACTGAACCTGTGCCATTGTTTGCAACCACATTTTAGACCTTGAGGCACAGCCATCATTTTAAAATTTGTAGTGGTCTTATAAGTGATATCCTATAGTCCATTTGGGCCATGGACAATGTCCACAATGTCAGCAGACACAGGTTTCCATGTGGTCTTCTAGATGCTGCTGAAATGCAAACTCTAGCAGCCCAAGGACACATAGCCAATGGTGAGAAATGTGAGAGCAGCAATTCCAACTTATAGGAAGAACTATATAGTTTCCAATCATGCTCACTCTTTTCTCTTGACTTTCTCACCATTAGCAAGCCCTTGACCAGGTTCAGTGATCATCAACACAGCAAGCATGTTGTCTAGTTTGAGTGCTGGACTATGAGAAACCAGGGTTTTTATGCTCACTCACTCCTGTAGACTCACTGGGTAACCCTGGGCAAGTCACACTCTCTCAGACTCAGAAGAAAGCAATGACAAACCCCTTCTAAAGACATCTTATCAGGAAAACTCTGTGATAGGTTCACTTTAGGGTTGTTATAAGCCAGAAGCAACTTGAAGGCACACAACAACAAATAATCACTACATGTTTACACTAACAAGTACACTCAGAAATGCATTACCTATTAAAAAAATGGCATCGGAGGCAGATATTCCATACTGCTGCTCCAGATATTTTGGCATAAAGGTGATCATCCCTATCCAGGCATTAAATTGTATCACAGTAACACATACAAAAAGCATGTAAACTCGGTTGCTCAGGAGGCTTTTCAGGTAAGGGATGAAATCTGGAAACCAAAGAACAGAATGATTAACTTCTACTATTTTTCAGACTTTTAGAAATAATTCAGACTGGATCTGTGCAATGGAGGGAATCCCACCTTTGGCATGACCATTGGCCATCATGTAGACAAATCCAAAATATCTATTTGGAGGATCAAAAGCCTAAGCCATGTCTACAAGAGCCAAATAAAATGAATTTGCCTTGAATTCAGTGCAAACAATCCACATAATATATGACTGGTTTAACTGCAGAAGTGTTACTTCCAGCTGTTAATCCACCACAAAAAGAATTGCAAGTTATTCCTGCGCTTTCTGTGAGCCTGGTATTTTTGACATGTAGACAGTTGGATTGGACTGGGTGATCCAATGACTAGTATCTACATATTCTCCAGCAGAGCCTTGCTGTTAGCATCAGTGCTGGTGATCACATGGCTGGACAGCTTCATGTGACCTTATGAGAAATGAAGTCATCAGCAAAGTTTTGTCAGGGAGCTACTTTTGGCAGTCACAGCTTCCAGTGGATATAGTACAGGTACCAACAGCCAACTGATCGACTGACCATCTGAACATCAGAATGGATTTGGAGCACTCTCGTGGTTTATTAGGGCAGTTTTGGAGCTAGCATTGGAACTAGTGTAGATACAGCCCTAGTCTGACAACATGATCAGGGCAGCAACAGTCTCCTCAGCATGCAACAATGAAGCCTCACTTAAATGCCTCAAAGAAAATACATCCCCACCACTTCCTCAAAAAGAGTTTGCTCCAAGAGCAACAATTACCATTTAAAAGTGCCTCCCAATATTTCATGGTTTCACTCACCTTTAGAGATTTCACGTAAGGTCATTTTGGCCTCGCCTTCATTTTCTTTAGGTAGAAATGCCTTATTTCCCTTGCCTGCTATATCAATGCTGTTTTCCTCTCCTTCCTTTGGTAGACTCTTGGACATAAACCAAAAGGGGACAGCAACAAGAAAGTTCACAGCAGCACAGATCAGGACTCCTAGCCACCAGGCCCCGACCCAACGAGCATCTGTGAGGCTTAATGTTACATCATCTGAAGGGAAATGAATACACAGGGTTTGATTAGCAGAAACAAGTTCTCTGGGGTTTTTTTTTTTCAAAATAGAACTGTATCCAACATTTTCTAGTGATTTTTTTTCTTCCCAGCACATCCACAGGCACAAAAGGATTTGAAAAGGAGAATAAGGACAATTAAACTATCTATAGTTCCATTGTCATGGAGCAGCCACTACCTGGTAAGGTTTAGGCTTAAGATGACTTCTAATATCTGCAGGGGTGAAGGACCTATTAAGACCATCCACCCAGGAGACTTATGGAACCAGATGGGTTCCTGATGGCTCTTGGGGAGTTTCCTGCCACCTCAGTAGGTGATCCTGTCAAAGCCCTGGTTGATCTCTGGAATGGGGAAATGATCAGGACAGTTGACATGATTACTCCAGAACATCTCCTCTCACAATGCAGAGCCGTAGCACCTCCTTGGTACACCAGGGAGCTAGCAGTGATGAAGTGGGTGAGAAGGTGACTGCAGCACTGCTGACGGACAACTCTAAGTGAATCTGACCGACCAAACATAGGTTAGGACTTACTCTAAAGCCTACTCTGTGGCAATTAAGGTGGCAAAAATCTTTTAATGCTGCCAACATTGCATCTGTGGAGAACTATCAAGCTGAGCTGTTTTGTGTGGTCAGAGGACTTTTGAATCCTAGTTCTTCTAATGGGACCCCTGACCAGTCAGAAGCTCACTGTGAAGCTTTTGCTCAGTACTTTGCCGATAAAGTAGCTCAGATATGTTCCGATTTAGATATGAATTTGAATACAGTTTCCATTGATGTGACTCGGGGACCTGCTTGTGCAGTTTTGATGGATTCCTTTTGGTTTGTTAAGCTGGAAGACATGGACATGATCTTTGGGGATGTGAGACCTACCACGTGTGCTCTGGACCTTTGCCCATCCTCTCTAATCAAATGAGCCAGAGAGAAACTGGCAGAGTAGGTCAAGGGGGTGGTAAAGGCCTTTTTAAGAGAAAGTGAAATTCCAGTAAAAACTTGGCTCTTTGAGCAAGCATTTGGAACCTCTGAATAAATAGACAAACTTGAATTGGAAAATAACCAGGAACAGCCCAAGACGATGAAACAAATAAGGACTTGAATGATAGGATATAGTTTTTAGCTTTTAATATTGTTATTATGTACTGTCTTATGTCTAATTGCACTATAATGGTTCTTTTGCTTATCAATGTATGTATTTTTATGGCATCGAATTGTGCTGATTGTGTACACCGCTCTGAGTCACCTCTGGGCTGATATGAGCGGGGTAGAAATAATGCAAATAATAAATGAATAAATAAATAAATAAATAAAATAATTTCCTTGTTTTGTTCTCTCTTTGGTGTGGACTTTTCCATTTGTGCTTAGTTTTAGGGGTTGTGAGGTCATTACTAAAAAACCATCACTGGATCCCTCTCAATTGAACAACTACTGGCCAGTGTCAAATCTCCCTTTTCTGGGCTAGGTTCTGGAGCATGTGATGGCCTCACAACTCCAGAGATTCTTGGAAGAAATTAATTATTTTGATCCTTACCAGTCCGACTTCAGACCTGGCCATGGAATTGAAATGGCTTTGATTGCCTTGGTGGATGATCTCCACAGAGACCTCTACAGGAGGAGTGTGTTCCTGTTGGTTCTCTAGAACATCTCAGTGGATTTGGATACCATCAATCATTGTATCCTTCTGAACCAGCTCACAGGGATGGGACTAGGGGGCACTGTTTTACAGTGGCTCCGGTCTTTGCTGGAGGTCCAGTCCCAGAAGATACTGGGAGACTCCTGTTCAAATCCCTGGCCTTTGTCCTGTGGGGTTCTTCAGGGGTCTGTTCTATCCCTCATGCTCTTTAACATCTATATGATGCCATTGGGTTAGATCATCCAGAGTTTTGGAGTGAGGTGTCACTTCTATGCAGATGATTCTAATTCCAATTCCAATTCTAATAATATTAATACTTTATTTGTGTCCCACCACCATATCCCCAAGGGACTTACACACATTAACAGTGCAGACAATAAAAAATTGTTATGTAACAACATAAACAAAATTAAATCAACAAACAACAAATAATCAAAACAAGTAATCAATATATGCAACATATCAAATTAACAGAAACCATCCTTCATAAAGTGCCAATGAACAGTGATTGTGTTATGTAAACCAATTAAAACATCCTAGCCACTAGTCTGGTTAAAGGCAAAAATCCAGTTAAAACTTAGTCCCATATAAGTCTTCCCACTGTTAGGTATTGCATTAACCGTTGTCAAAAGCCTGTTGGAACAGCCAGGTTTTCAATTCCTTACAAAAGTTTAACAGTGTGTAAGCTTGCCTGATCTCCCTGGGGAGGGTGTTCGAGAGCTGGGGGGTTGTAATTGAGAAGGCCCCCTCTCTCATCCCAACCAATCTCACCTGTGACAGAGGTGGGATTGTGAGGAGGGCCTCCTTGGAAGATTCCATGCACAAACAGGTATATAGGAAGAGATGCAGTTGCATAATTAGACTGAACCTAAATCATTTAGGGCTTTATAGGTAATAACCTGAACTTTAAATTGGGTTCGGAAATGTATAAGCAGCCAGTGGAGCTGTTTCAGTAAGGGGGTAGTGTGTTCCCTATGACTGGCTCCCATAAACAGCCTGGCTGCAGCTCTTTGCACTTGTTGCAGTTTCCGAGCTATCTTCAAAGGCAGCCCCATGTAGAATGCATTGCAGTAGTCCATCCGAGATGCTTTATTTGTAAGGCATGGACCACCATGACCAGATGTGACTTTTTGAGGTATGGGTATAGTTGGCGCACAAGTTTTAATTGTGCAAAGCACACACACACACCCCAGCCACTGCCAACACCTTGGGCTCCAGGGTCAAAGTTCAGGAGGACCCAAACTTTGGACCTGTGTCCTCAGGGGGAGTATAACCCTGTAGAGCATGGGTTGCCACCGTATACCCCGATCGGCCTCATGACTGACCAGGTGGACTTCTGTCTTGTCTGGATTAAGCTTCAGCTTGTTAGCCCTCATCCAGTCCATCACAGCTGCCAAGCACTGGACCAGGACCCGGGGAGCTTCACTGGATTTAGGTGGAAATGAATAATAGAGTTGTGTGTATTCTGTGAACTCTGGATTACCTCGCCCAACGGTTTCATGTAGATGTTAAAAAGCACAGGAGAAAGAATAGTACATTGCGGGACTCCACAAGCCAATGGCCAGGGGTCCGAGCAGGTGTCCCCCAGCACCACCATCTGGGTCTGGTCCTCCAGGAATGTGCAGAGTCACTGCAATGCAGTGCCCCCAAGTCCCATCCCAGAAATTTGGATTTTTCTTCCCCTACCAGTGGTGGAGTAAAAGCTTCCTGAGAAAAAATTTACTGGGTGCTGGATAACGAGTACCCATTCCCACCTATCCCTCATTCACTATGTACATGCAAATACAAACATTCCACCACTCCCCAAAAAATCTGAAAAATCTCTGGTCCCAAGCATCTAGAACAGTGGTTCTCAACCTGTGGGTCCCCAGGTGTTTTGGCCTACAACTTACCAGCTGCGAGGATTTCTGAGAGTTGAAGGCCAAAACATCTGGGGACCCACAGGTTAAGAACCACTGATCTAGAATAAGGGAGACTCAAACGGTATATTTATTTTGAGGCAGTCAAAACCCTCTTTCTTCTTTTTCTTTTCTTCAGTAGTTTTGGGGTATTTTTCTATTATTCATTTATTTATTTACTATATTTATATACCGCACCTCTCAGCCCAGAAGCGACTCAGAGAGGTTCTATCATCTAACCCGCAATGCTAGAGGAGGTACACTCCATGTAGCATCTTTTCTCAGGTGGCTCCTAATGGAAAGGGATGACAACCACTGCAAGAAGGTGAGTCTAAGCATTAAAATAAAACAATTTTAAAGAAAGTTATAGGGGAGAGTTTTAAAACTGTGTCTCCGTGCTAAAAATATAAGTTTGCCAGCCATGAGTCATCCAAAATCGAAGTCAATGTTGGTCACAGTGGGAAAACAACAGCAAATGGCATTTAAGAAAAGAGGGAAGAAGGTTTTGAAAAGAAGACAAATTTTGGTGTTATTCCCAATTCAATTAGGCCCATTTATGGAAACTTGATAAATCAGTAGTTATATACTTCTGGGAGTGGCAACTGGATTTAGACTTCTGACTATACTATTCTCTTTGATTGTTAATTATGGGAAAATGTCGCATTGAAAAGATATTGTATTAAAAAAGAATTTTGCATTCTGGAACAGAAATGCCTACAGTGCAATCCCTATACATCTGGCTATGTCCATGTGGCATCTATTCCACCTTTTCATCCTGAATAGGTTTTCCAATAGTTAAAAATGTGAAAGAAGGGGTAGTAAAACATGAGAGAATTACAAATGGAATTCATTGTTGCCTGGGCTCCTAAAATTCCAGTGAGACAGGGTTATTTCCTTCACAAAAACAGCTTTGTTTAGAAGCACCTGCTGTCTGTCAGACTGGATATCTGACAATTGGAAGCAAACTGGAATGCTGTCCAGTGCTTTCAGGGGAGTGGAATTGGACACCATCCCAAAACACTGAGCTCAAAAGCACAAAACGCAGTGTGATGGGTTGAAAAGCACAATGTCTTGACCCAGTGGTTGGTGAGAGCCCCTCCTTCCATATTCCAAGTCCTATTGCTGTGGCTTCATTGGTGGGAGCGGGGAGAAAAGAGTGCCAAGCACAGCTTCATCATCCCTTGTCTAAACAGCTGGTGATAATCCCTCCTTCCATATTCTAACTACCATTCTTCTGGTCTCAGAAGAGAGGAGCAGCCAAGCATAGCTCTATTGTATGTTTGTCCAGCAGTTCCAAATGTCATTGTTCAGGTGTTTGAGGGGGAGAAGAGCAGCCAGCATCTGCTGGAATTAATTTCTTCCTCCACCACCAACCTTTTTTTCCTTATATGCCATATCTTATTTAGATTATAAGCCTGAAGGCATGGTGCTATGCAATCAATGATTTGTAAGTTGTCCCGAAAGCCTTTTTGTCTGAAGAGTAAGATATATCTGCTCTAAGTATGTGGATACACTTTGAAAAGTTTAACTTTGTGTATTGTAGCCATTGTCCTTACTGGTTGAGTGATTCTGGAGGTTGTAGATCAAAAAGAGAAATTCTTTGAGCTCTGATACACCTGTCTTGTTTTCAATAGCCTTCTGAAACTTGGCAAACTTCGTTAATGCTTGTTATCTGATCCAGTTCATTTGTACCCCACCTTTAATTCATGTGGAACTCAAGGCCATGTCCACAAACTTTCCATTTATGTTCAAACTAAAGCTTGAGCAGATTCACTACTCTACGCATATGGAAAATTGTGACTGTTATAGCCTGATACCAGGAGAATACTGAATGACATGAAAGACATTCTTTTTGATTGCCCTATTTTGACTTGTTTAATTGCATTACCTGGATTTATGAATCCAACATCCACATACAACTGGGCACAATAGGAACCAACCAGTAAGCCCAACAATGGGCCCAATACTGTTGATATTTGTAGGCAGCCTGAAAACAGAAGGAAAAGCTTTTTTAATAAAACAAGTGAAAATTCATATTTTGCTTTTTTCCAATATTTGTTTTGATTGCTGTCTTCAGTCAACCAGGGAGCTCCCTTATAAAGGCCTGTGTTGGCACTGATATATTGTGGTTGACTTTGTGCAGAATAATCCTTGCTATCCATGTTGCTTTTCAGATTATATGAAGCACACTAGCTCATACAAGAAAGGGATATGAGAGGATTCAGGTCACAGAAATATATTTTTTTAAGGTGGCAACAATTTACAATAGTCTTAACAGAACTGAGAGACTGGAGTGACTAGAAAAGGAGAAAATGAAGATGCATTAGATATGAAAACATCCATGTTTTCACTATTTTATTATAATTCAATCCAAGCTCCTAATTGTGAGTGAAGACCAAAATAAATAAGTATATAAAAAAAGTTTCAGGAGAAACATTGAGGGAAATGGAGCCAAAATAGCCCAGTGAGGATTATATAGGGAATGTTCACTAGTACGTAGGGTGGGAAGAATAAGATTGTCTTGAGTGTCATAAGTTGTCTGAAACAACTTAAAGGCACAGCCACAAAGCAATGAAAAGTATGTATGAGATTGCACTGCAAATATTTATCTATCTAGTACTTTAAAATATTTGACAGTTGAAGAATGGCTATTATTTCCAAGTATTACCAATGTAGAAAGGTGAATTTTCTGGTTTTGCAAAATCTTCCACATACGAAATGCCTAAAGGAGCAATGGGAGTTTCACCGATTCCTCGGATAATATTTCCCACCAAGACAAACACCCACATTGAAGATCTAGTCTGCTTCTCACATTCTGGGAAGGAAAGAAACAAGTAGAAAGACAAATATAAACATATAGAGGCTTTTGCAAGTAAGGAAATACTACTATACTTCTGTCAAATCAGTAACTGGAGAGTGGTGTATGTGTGCTGGAAAGCCCTGATGAGAAAATTCCAAGAAGTCTTGCAATTCAGGGCCCATCCTCAGCAAAATGTGCATTTAGGTGTTTTTTTGTGCAGAAAACAATATTTCCTGGACAAGTAATGTCTTTCTGCACAATACAACCACATGTGAATTTTGCGCAAATTGCAAATAGGCTGCAAAAACTGTTTTCAAAGTTTTCAAAAACTTTCTCACAATAAAAAAGACTATAAAATTACTCTTTTCTTCATTGAAGAAGAAACATAGTGAAGAATGACTATCATAACTGCTAAAGCAAAGGTGAACTCCCAGTCAATTTGGTTTTCTGTATGTTGTTGTTTATTTGTCCAGTCACTTCCAACTCTTTGTGACCTCATGCCAGAGCCATGCCCATGCCAGAGCTCCCTGCCAGACGTCACCAATCTGGCTCCTTCAAAGTCAATCCAGTCACTTCAAAGACAACATCCATCCACCTTGTCCTTGGTTGGCCCTTCTTACTTTTTCCTTCCCTCCTCCCCAGCATCATTTTCTCCAAGCTTTCCTGTCTTCTCATTATGTGGCCAAAGTACTTCATCTTTGCCTCTAATATCCTTCCCTCTAGTGCTCACTGGAGGGAAGTTTTCTGTATATGCACTGGAAATGGGATACCATTCAAGTTGCCAGACATCTTGTGGCAATGTGTTTAACAGTGCAGGTAAACTATGGTTGGTGGATGGTGCAAGTTATTGGACAGATCAAAAGTATTTATTCATATCCACTTAGTTAAAGGATAGAATTCACTATCACTAGATGTAGGGATCACTGTTTAGTTGAGTAACATTAAAATAAGAGGATGAACAAAGGTATGATGGAGTTCTGTTATTCCTGTAACCACCCCTGATTACCAGGTGGTTATAGCATTTTTGACCAGTTTCCAAAGGCTGCCTCAAACAGAGTGTAGAACAATAATCCAAAACAGGATGTAATCCAATAGAAAAAATCTGAATCCAATGGGGAAAGCTCACCTTCTATGTGTTCCTCAGTAGGAAGAGAAAACTGGCTTTGATTTGTAAGGCAAACAGCCATGGTTGAAGAATTTTCAGACATAGAAAGAGTGTTTTCATATTCATACCTATGGAAACAAGATAATATGTAAATGGAAGGAAGTGTTATGTAACTAGGATGAGAAGATTTCAGTGTTCCAATAGAAGGGCATATGAGTAGAGTGACTTACCTTCCCATCAAAAAATGAGGCAGACCTATCAGAAAGCATCCTAAACCCATAAGCATACAGCCAAGAGCAATCACACGTGGTCGGTTAACTTTGGATCCCAAATAACTCACAAAGGCCATCACCAGCAGGTCACCTGTAGAATGATAGGCATCATGTGTGATCCAGCCAAAGTTAAGCAATTTTGGAAGGATATTAATTAGAGAAGCATAGAGCTGGACACATTTCCAAGGACATCAAGACCAACCCATACTAGATTCATCTTGAATTCCCTGATTGGCTAAAGGTAAAAAAAAATCAATAGCTGCAATGGCTGCCCTTTCAACTGTAAGAATGAGGCCCTTCTCTACATCCCGCCATTTTCTCATAGTAAGAATATAATCTGAGTTTTTTAAAATTCTAATGTGTAGAAAACACAATAGCCACTATCAGTTTTGTGAAGATAGGGCATGAATATGACCACTATAACTCTGAACACAGAAATACAGATACATGATCTGGTTCAGCTTTACGTTACCAGTACTATCTGCTTTTTTATTTGCTATATACTGGTATTTCTTTCTAATAACTTGTATTCAGCTGTTAGCCTAAGATGATATTGTGGGTTTTCCATCTTAAACCAGTAGCCATCCTTATCCAGATGCATACCGATTTCAAAGCTTCCATTGATAACTCCAACCAATGAGGCAGGGATATTGAACCGCCGTTCAATCTGTGTGAGCATGCTGTTCACATAAGCTCCAGACATGGTTTTGGTTAGATAGGCAAATGCTAAGGCCACCAGAAATATCTGAAAGAGAATGTGCAGAGCCCATTAAACAAACAATAAGAAAATATCTGGAAGAATTGGAATAACAGAATAACTAATTTAGATAGTAGTCGTTTTCATTTCAGTTGCATGGTGAATCCATTTTAATGGTGAATCTACTCAAAGGAAGTTCAGCACCTTTAATGTTCAGGGCAAAGCTTGGAGTGAATTCATCACTCCCACTGACATTAACCAGACAATAATCTCTGTTAAGTTCCATTGAGAGAGCTCTTGTTTCTTTGCACTACTATGGAAGAGCTATATGACCTCCTTCAAGAAGTAGATTAATGTGTCCTCAGTCCAGCACCATTCACCTTCAGTAGATGATCCCACATTCTAGTATAAGAATGGAAGGGAAAAAATATTTCTATCAATGCTATTAGTTAATATCTTTTGCCCTGACTTGGTGCATGCCATTTGCACACTTCATATATTGTACCTCTGAATATCTCACAATGGTATAGAATGAGTTAGCTGAGCCAAAGTTAGGTGTTCCAAGGAACCACTGCAAATGATCAGAAACATTTGTGAATAAGCAGAAGTAGGCATAAGTAGACCAGGTCCACTAGTAGGCCTGTTTGATCAAGAAAAAATTTGTTTCTAAAATCGATTTGTAATTGGGGGTTTTTTTGTTTCGATATTTAAAATAATTACAAAACTTTCCAAAAAAAAGTTTTGGTATTTACGAAATTTTGTAAATATTAACGAATTTTTAGAATATTTTTTGTATTTTTTAAGAATAATATTAAAATAATATTAAAAAATATTTTAAAATGGAAAATTAACCAAAAAATGGCCCAAATGTGGACCAAACACAGGCAGGAGACAGCAAATGAGAGCACACACCAACAGAAGAGCCTTTTCTTTTTTAGAATATTTTTTAAGAATAATATTAAAATAATATTAAAAAATAATATTAAAATAATATTAAAAAATATTTTAAAATGGAAAATTAACCAAAAACTGGCCCAAATGTGGACCAAACACAGCCACGAGACAGCAAATGAGAGCACACACCAACAGAAGAGTCTTTTCTTTTTTAGAATATTTTTTGTATTTATAATATTAAAATAATATTAAAATAATTAAAAATAATATTAAAATAATATTAAAAATATTTTTAAATGGAAAATTAACCAAAAAATGGCCCAAATGTGGACCAAACACAGGCGGGAGACAGCAAATGAAGCAAGCAGCACTCACAGCAGCAAGGAATGAATCCAATCCAGTTGTTAGCCATTAGCCAAGCCAAACCAATGCAAACTCCCTCGCCCTCTGCAGCAATGAGCTACGGCCGCGCGGAGCCGCTTTGAAAGGGCTCGCCGGCCAATCAAAAACAAACAGCCACGGACCCACGGTGCACTGCTTGGGAGCGCCGGATTGGCTCCCAGGCACCAGCACTCCAGCAGCCTCCACCCCATTAACGAAACGAGCGGAAGCTCGTTAAATCTATGGGGGTTGCTGGTTCGATATTTTAAAACCCTTCCGGGTTTGGAAATGTGTTTTGATATCGCTTCAAAAATGCCTAAAATAACGAATTAATAACGAATTAACGAATTAACGAACGAAACCGGACAGGCCTACTGGCTAGGAGTCAGCTGCATTAAATCACCACTGACCAAAAGGTCATGAGTTTGAAACCAGACCAGGTCAGAGTAAGCTTATGGCCATTTGTCTAGCTTGCTGTCGACCTTTGCAGCTTGAAAGACAGTTGCATCTGTCAAATAGGAAACTTAGGTACCGCTTATGGTGGGGGGCAGGGGCCTAATCTATACAAATCTCTAGCAGTGGGTGAAAGAATGAGGAAATACTCCATCAAGGACTCTGTGTCACAAGTGCGGACATGAAGCAACAGCTCCCCCGGTGGCTGGAATTCAAGCATACCCTCATGAAGCTGGAATGTTAAAATTGCCTCTGTGTTTGTCTATATATGTTGTGTCTATGGCATTGAATGTTTGCCATGTATATGTGCATTGTAATCCACCCTGAGTCCCCTGCAGAATATAAATACTGTAAATAAATAAATATAAATAAAAGGAGCTCCTCAATCTTGGGAAAGAGTTGTTGTTGTCATTCGTTCAGTCGTCTCCGACTCTTCGTGACCTCATGGACCAGGCCACGCCAGAGCTCCCTGTCGGCCGTCACCACCCCCAGCTCCTTCAAGGTCAGTCCAGTCACTTCAAGGATGCCATCCATCCATCTTGCCCTTGGTCGGCCCCTCTTCCTTTTGCCTTCCACTTTCCCCAGCATTATTGTCTTCTCTAGGCTTTGCTGTCTCCTCATGATGTGGCCAAAGTACTTCAACTTTGTC